CTTCGGTACACGCTTACAAGCCTCTCACGCAGACACCACCACGCGGATTTGATATTCTATCGCAGCGAAAGCATGAGTAGCCACTGAGATCGACTTCCTCTGCCATTACCTCAGAAGTTAGCCATGTCTCCGCCAGTCCTACGACGTCTGGTCGCTCAGAGGCAAAGAAGCGACACAGCTCATCCCGTTTGTTCATAAGGCTACAGATGTTTGTGAATGCAGCACGGAGGTCCTGAGAGGCACCGCAGGACGTGCCTGGAGGTTGATCAACCGACTGATACGGGTTCGTGCACCCTTCTTGATCACTCGAAAATTTACGATGTGTAGATCAGTTTCGCCTTCTTCTGTACGGCGTTTAAGCTCAAGGACCGCAGTCTTCAAGCGGTTCCTCTCTTCGGGTTCCAAGTCTCGGCGGATGTGAACCCTGGTGCCTTTAAGCCTGGAGAGACGAGACAGAATGAGTTGTGACGCGTTTTGTGGTCAGCAAAGGTGATTCTTAAGGGTCGACATGATTGGTTAGTATGCTGACCAAGTCGGACTACTTGTTTAATCGTTACGCTGCCTTCACCCACATCCAACAGTTTATCAACGAGCCCCTGAAGGAACTCAACATCGTGATCATAACGTTTCTGAAGGTTTTCATCTTTCGACTCTGGTGCATGGAACACCATGAGATTATAACGCCTCATGGAGATCGGTGACGAACTTGAGGCAGCATGAGTGGAGGGGCTTGTCGTTTTGGACGGTCGTCTATCGTTAGGGGGAGGCTGAAAGTTGTTGCGTGAACTTTTGCGTTTTTGAATGATCCATTTATCTTCAGTGTCCAGAGGTTCACAGGTATGCGCTGAAAGATTAGGGGGCTCCGACTCTGAGTCGTCAATCTGTGGGGAACATCGGTTGTGAGAATCGGTAGGGGTAGAAGACGCTGGTGGTGGTGCAGATCGTGGAGTTGCAGGGGAAGGGGAGTTCACAGAGGTACTCTCACGAGCGCGTTTGACCCCGCGAGCTGAATGAGGTGGTTTCGTCTGGGAGATGGCTTTTCCCGGAGCCGGTAGTGGTCTCCGTGCATTTTGTTGTAGTAAACCGCGGCATTTATCACACAACCTGGAAAAATCTATGTCGGATGTCAACAGATTTTCGGAAAACTTCCACGGAAGGCCGATACATGAAATATGAAACAGAACATCACATCCGAAACAACGAAGTGCATGGGCCTTTTGTCCTACAACTTTCGAACATGAGCCACAAGTAGATTGGCATGGCATCACACGTTGGAGCGCATCCAAGATCAGAGTAAGAGAAAATGGTGGAAAAGAAAGAAGGGAGGCGCCAGCAGTAGCATGTTTTCTTTTATCCGCCATGCTGATCTCATTATTTAACCTTATATAATTTTGCATAGTAATTTTTTTGATGCATAGTAGCCGGCAGGTAGCTTACCGGAACGATGCCCATCCGTTACCGGTAGCTCAGCCAGCTTGCTCCAGTTGAATTCTTTTTCTCTCCTTTTTTCAGTGTATTGCGGCACAGTAGCTGAGGTGTTCCCCACCTCTAGCTAACGTGTATGATGATGACGATGATGATCCGCCCTGCCGTATGCAGCAGATAATGCGACCCTTAATAATCTGCGCGACGACCGATGCAGGATGAAGTTTATGTTTGAAGAAAATGTCATAGTTGGATGTGGGCTGAGATATTGCCAGGGCGCCCAGACCTAGACAGGAGGACGATTAGGGTCCTCATCCAAAGCCTTTGGCTCAAATGCCTGTCCGCAAGGCAGCGGGGAGGTGGCAATGATTTAGTTTTACAGAAATGGACGCCATCCCATTTCAAACCCCCAACCTGGAGGACCAGGCGACTGAGTTTCTCTAACCTCTCACCATTGACCAACCTGGTGGGAGTAGCTCTCAAGGTGCCCGGAGGCATCATCCAGTATAGCTCAATGGGTCAATGAGGTAGGCAAACCGTCGCACCACGTTAAGCTTCAGTCTCGTTGCGACGGAGTTCTAGTAGTGGCTTCAAGGTAGCATCTGCATCAATATTGATATGTCCCAGAGGTACTGTATGTGCAAGTACGTGGTTGTTTGTGAGTTTGTCTTCGTGTATCCTGAGGAGATCTGTAGAGCCAATAGGTCAGCTTTACCGTCATCATCATAGTGTATTATACCTGGCTCATCCGTCGACAATGCAGGAATTCCACAACCGGCCTTGGAACATCTGTTAAGGTATTAAAATAGTTTCTTTGGCCTAGAAAGGAATTGTTCAGCCAGGCTATGCTCGTATCGTTGTCTCTTCACGTTTCTGCAGGGAGCAGAAGTTCCTGACGGCCTTGTAGTTAGAGTAGTCTGAGTCTAAGCGGGAAAGCTTGAATTTGTCCCATGGTTTTCGTCGTTGTTTCATGTTGCGCCTGAGTTCTCGGTCGATCCAATAGGGACCCTTAGAGAGCCCTGTTACTGTGGGATGGGACGACCTCCTCAATGAGTAGCTTCAACCTGTAGAATAGATCGTTCCAAGCAGCCTCGAGTAACAAGTGTTGTGGAACATTCCAGTCCAGCGTACTCGCTGCTGCCCTTAACTGGGATGCGTCCGTCCGTCAGAAGTTTCGACGGTGTGCGCTCCAGGCTCGATTAACTAGACGTTTAGTCCATAAAAAGATCGTACAATTGTCGTTTTTACCAATGGGCTGTAGAAAGGTCAATTCCGAGACATCAGACAGAGCTGGAGTGAGTACAAGCTCAAGAGTGTGCGCAGTCTGGCCGGGAAGAAGCCGAGTGGGCGATGTTATATGCTGGGAGAGATTCGTTTTGAAGACATCATCATCATCATACACGTTAGCCAGAGGTGAGGAACACCTCAGCTACTGTGCTGCAATACACAGAAAAAAGGAGAAAGAAAGCAACTGGTGTAAGCCGGCCGAGCTACCGGTAACAAATGCGCCGGCTACTGTGCATCAGAAAAAGAATTACTATGCAAAATTATATTAGGCTAAATAATGAGATCGTGGTTATAGGGGAGGCTAGGAGGGATGGGGTGGGACAAAGAAACTCACAGCACGAACGCCACTGAGGTCGGCTCTTTGCCATGTCAACAAGTGTGTCCAACCAAACGTGTTCATCGTCTTTCGGACCCCAACCAGGGAGCCGAGACACTCCAACTGAGGCCAGCTCAGAAGTGAGGGCATTCATTCCTCTCGACCAAGTCATCGCTTGGCCACCCCTCCTCTTCTTCCATTCACACCTCGGCGCGCAAACAACGCAAGTGGCGGGAGTCGGTGGGCTGGCATGCGTAACATGTAGCCGAACCATCGGAGCCTGGTGCGTGAAATGACGGTGCTGAGCGGTTCAGTTCCTGTGCCGTAAACAAGACGTCGAACACGCTCGTTGCTCACGCGGTGTTCCCACCAGATGTGAGCTAAATTGCGAAGGACAGTTTCAAGGCTAGCATCAAAGAACTCGGGTGGAAGGGGGCAGTGTAGTAGGTCCCAGTTGACATCCGAAGCATTGAAGTCACCCACAGTAAAACAATCTATGCGGCTTCCATTCGATTTGATAAAGTCTAGCACAGAGGCACCATGTCACCACGGGGCTTTGTGGACAACACCAACCATAAGAGATTTGAAGCTATCATTGATCCTGCACCAGAGCAGTTTTGCGTCACCATCAGCGTCCTTGACAGCTTCTACGAGATGAACTAAGATCCTCTCTCTAGTAGAGAACTACGCCACCACCAGCTCTTGTTCCAGATCGGTCGGTACGGAAAAGTTGATATCCTGAGATGTAGATCTCGGAGTCGGAGATATCTGAAGTGAGTCAGAACTCAGTGAAGGCCAACAGGTCAGGAAGCAGCTTTGAAGCCAGGGGTGTACCTCGTCCGATTTGTTCTGGAGGCTGCGAACGTTTGCAACCATCACCTGTAGTCCATTCTTCGTCCTTGTTTTTAAGTCCTAGGGAGGACGAACAGTGGCTTCCAGCGGGACCTCTGTACTTTCTGCACTACCTGGAAATCCACTATGTGCAACTTGGTCTCGCCATTTGCTCTACGGGTTCGTAGTTCGTTAATTATGTTCCTCCTTTTGGTTCAATGTTCTGGGGATAGATCTCTGAGAACATGGAATTTTTCTGCATTGAGACGTGAGGTCCATCCGAGCATTCCACGACACTCTTCTTCATCCTGACAGACAACTTTGAGAGGACGGGAGTTGGTGGGGTCTTCTCGCTTTCACCAAATGCGAATTGCAGAGACAAAGTTAATCACTTATTTCCCCACTATAGAACGGAAAAGAGACCATGTGCTTTAGGAATGACTAATCGTCCTCTATTCTTTCTGCTGTCTCTCTATTAGACTCGGGAGCGTTTACGATTATTAGACAGCGCTCACGGGAAGGACGCTTGTTTCCATCATCATCATCATCATCATCATCATCATCATCATCATCATCATCATCATCATCATCATCATCATCATCATCATCATCATATCATCATCATCATCATCATCATCATCATCATCATCATCATCATCATCATCATCATCATCATCATCATCATCATCATCATCATCATCATCATCATCATCATCATCATCATCATCATCATCATCATCATCATCATCATCATCATCATCATCATCATCATCATCATCATCATCATCATCATCATCATCATCATCATCATCATCATCACTCATCATCATCATCATCATCATCATCATCATCATCATCATCATCATCATCATCATCATCATCATCATCATCATCATCATCATCATCATCATCATCATCATCATCATCATCATCATCATCATCATCATCATCATCATCATCATCATCATCATCATCATCATCATCATCATCATCATCATCATCATCATCATCATCATCATCATCATCATCATCATCATCATCATCATCATCATCATCATCATCATCATCATCATCATCATCATCATCATCATCATCATCATCATCATCATCATCATCATCATCATCATCATCATCATCATCATCATCCATCATCATCATCATCATCATCATCATCATCATCATCATCATCATCATCATCATCATCATCATCATCATCATCATCATCATCATCATCATCATCATCATCATCATCATCATCATCATCATCATCATCATCATCATCATCATCATCATCATCATCATCATCATCATCATCATCATCATCATCATCATCATCATCATCATCATCATCATCATCATCATCATCATCATCATCATCATCATCATCATCATCATCATCATCATCATCATCATCATCATCATCATCATCATCATCATCATCATCATCATCATCATCATCATCATCATCATCATCATCATCATCATCATCATCATCATCATCATCATCATCATCATCATCATCATCATCATCATCATCATCATCATCATCATCATCATCATCATCATCATCATCATCATCATCATCATCATCATCATCATCATCATCATCATCATCATCATCATCATCATCATCATCATCATCATCATCATCATCATCTATCATCATCATCATCATCATCATCATCATCATCATCATCATCATCCATCATCATCATCATCATCATCATCATCATCATCATCATCATCATCATCATCATACATGTCAGCTAGAGATGGTAAAACACCTCCGCTATTGTACCGCAATACATAAAGGAAATACATACATACATACAATACATAAAGGAAAAATAAATACGACAATTGAATGCCAGCTGAGCTACCAGCAACGGATACGCATCGTTCCGGTAAGCTACTAGCCGGCTACTAGGCAAAAACAAAAATTTAATTACGTTTTACCCTACGAAATAAGATCGTAGATGGAGGGGGAGGCTAAAGGGATGGGAAGGGACAAAGAAACTCACAGCAGGAACGCCACTGAGGTCGGCTCCTTGCCATATCAGCAAGTGTATCCAGCCAAACGTGTTCACCGTCTTTTGGACCCCAACCAAGGAGCCGTGAAGCTCCAACTGAGACAAGCTCCGAAGTGAGGGCCTTCATTCCTCTGGACCAAGTCATCGCTTGGCCACCTCTCTTCTTCTTCCACCCACATCCCCGGTGAGCAAACAACGCACGTCGAGGGAGTCGGTGGGCTGGCATGCGCAACACGTGGCCCAGCCATCGGAGCCTGGTGAGTGAAATGACGGTGCTGAGCGGTTCATTCCCTTTTCCTAGGCCGTAAACAAAGCGTCGAACATGCTCGTTACTCACGCGTTGTTCCCACCAGATGTGAGCCAAACTGCGAAGGCACCGATGGTCGAACGCAAGTAGCCTCTTCATGTCCGCCGATCTTAGGGGCCAGGTTTCGCAACCGTACAGTAAGGTCGAACGTACCGCTGCATTGTACACTCTACCCTTCAGGGCGAGAGTAATGTCGCACCGTCGCCATAGGTGGCGAAGGTTAGCAAAAGCACTTCGAGCTTTCGCTATGCGGTTCGTGATCTCGTCTTCGATCCCAAGGGCGCTGATACAACTTCCCAGGTAATTGAATTTCTGAACGACTTCTAGCTGATCCCCACCAAGGGTCAGCACAGGGGGCGAACTCTGCCAATCCTGGAGGAACGCTTTGCACTTCAGTGGTGCAAAGCAAAGCCCGAAGCGACTGACAGCCAGTGCTAATCTGTCCAGCGCGGCTTGACACGTCTGGGAGCTGTCACAGATTAGGGCAATGTCGTCTGCATACTCTAAGTCAAGAAGTCGTTCTCCTGGGAGTAGCTCCACACCTTCCAAGTCATGTCCTGTAAATGCAATCTCCATGACTTCGTCAATAGCGAAGTTGAATAGGAAAGGTGACAGCGGGCATCCTTGTCTCACACCGCTGTAGATATATTGAAGGGTGGCGACAGCCTGCTGTAAACCCTTACTCTGCCCGTGCTATGCGCATATAATGCTTGGATAATATTTACATATTTCTCTGGCACACCTTTCCTGAGTGGACAATTCCAAAGGGCACATCGATCAACCGAATCGAAGGCACCTTTGATGTCGAGGAACACGACTACGGTGGGCCGCCAATATGTGTGACGGTGCTCCAACAACTGACGCAAGGTGAAGATGTGGTCGATGCAGCCACGACCCCGACGAAACCCGGCTTGCTCCTCTTGTTTCCATCAGGTATAGGTGGTTTCGGTGTGCTGGGGTTAGCGTTGCTCAGATTTTTCAGCTGCGTTATTCTGTCCAAAACCAATCGTAGCTGGGATGAAGTATGCTTCGGTGCTGTTTTAAACTTCTGCGTCTCTTTAGCGATCGTTCTGCGAACAGCTCTGTTTTGGGTGACCGAACTTGTTCGTACGCCATTTCTCGCCACAGTCGCATGTGTCTTCGGCTGAGGAACGCTGACCCGTCCTTTAGTCTGTGGTGCTGTCGCAGGAAAATCGGAAATGTGTCTACTCCGCCGTCACGCGGTGTCCGCATCTGAGAAATCTAAATAGGAAGGCTTAAGCTCGTAATCTGTGGAGACCCCAGCCTCAGCTGAGCAGCATCGCAGAGGGAGAGTCGGGCGATCAGAGAATGGGTGGTTATTGCTTCCTGCAGTGCGACACGTGTCACACTGTAAGCTGATAACCGGGGAGGTTCACAGCTGAAGCTCATGGTACAGTGCTGCGCTGATGCCACAACATGCGATGTGCAGTCATCCGTTACCAAAAGAGCATTAGACAGCTTTGGAACGAGGTGTGACGTTCTTGCAGCAGCACCCGCATTTGGAAGACATTATTCACGTCTTTTTTATTTTGACGCGTCGCATTGAAAGCCGCAAGAAAGCTGTCTCACCCATGCAGCCTTATTTTTGCACGATAGCAAGCTGTTTATGACGGTATGTTGTCTACACAAGGTGTAGGCGCCTTGACCCTGAATGTTTGCTTAGGGCATTAAGGTTTTCAGGTAAGTCCCCCTTCTCTCCCTCTTAGTATTCTTTATTTCATAGGTCCTCTTGGTTGTATGGCAGCGAAGCTTCAGTTCACATGGCTGATGTACTACTGTTGATGATGATGATAATGATGATAATTCACGTTTTTCAATCGAATCCGGTTGCAAGCAGGTGACAGCACCGACCTAGATCTTGACAGTGTTCTGGACCTTGCGGTGTTATCGAACGACACGGAACAGCGACTAAGGAATGTTAGCCTTCGTTACGAACTGGAGCTAGCAAACACAGCTTCAAACAATCCGAAGCGACTTTCGCTTACGTCAGAAGGCGGTGCCGTGTGGATCCATCCATCCCGGTGTTTCACGGACCTGATGTGGTTACTGCGCATACCGACCACGATAAGGCCTGTCTTTTCGGAGAGCAGTATGCGAACACGTTTACTCTCGAGTTTCTTTTACCAACTATCGATTTAGAGGAGAAAGTTCCGGCGGAATTTGTTGACCCATTTCGCTGTATCAGAGGCCCAGATGCGTTCACTGCTGCGAGGGATGGACCCTACCAAAGTCGCGGGTATTGCTGCCATTCATCCATAATTATTATGTGAACCAGCCAATGAAACATTTTGGCGCGTAGCCTGCCTCTTTGAGAAGTCTCTCACCAATTATACCTTACCCACCGACTGAAAAGAATCTGTAGTTTGCCCTATCTTTAAAAAGAAAGATAAGCATCTCCCTCTGAACAACAGGTCTGTCAGTCTAATCTATATGCTGGTTTAGTTGCTAGAAAAGCTAGTGAGGGATACCCTCGAAAACCATTTAAGAATGTTTGGCCTCCTCAGTCCATCTCGGTTTTCGCAAAGGGTACTCTTGTCTGACCAACTTGGTGGTTGCTCGGGAAAGTTGGATGGAGTCTGTCGATCAGGTTGAATCAGTGGATGTGCTATTCATTGACTTCTCCAAAGCGTTTGACCCAGTCCAGCATACTCGCCTTTCCCTTAATCTCCGTTCCTACGGAGTTTCAGAGCACACGCATCTATGGCTATCTGCATTTCTTGAAGTGCGAGAGATGTGTGTTCGGTTGGGCTCCAGTCTTTCTTTCCGACAGGCAGTTCTGAGCGGGGTCCCACAGGGATCAGTTCTTGGTCCACTGTTATTTGCTGTGTACGTAAATGAACTGCTAAAAGTGCTGGGCTGCTTACCCTCACGTTCGCCGACGACTTGAAGTTTTGGAGCATGGTGACCGACCCAGATAGCTCCCAAATTCTGCAACAGCTTCTTGACAGACTCCTTGATTGATCCGCTCTGTGACAGATGTCAATAAACTACAGCAAATGTTCAGTTTTACACATAGGATCAAATGGTCCGACAACGCACTACATGCTTGGTGATAATGAAATCCCAACAACTCGACCTGGGGATCACTGTCTCAGAACTTTAAATCCAACGAGAACTGGAAGAAGGCGTCTTGCAGGGGTTTTCGAACACGGATGATCCGTAGATCATTTGGGATCCTAACGGAAGAAATTTGTTAAATTGTTTACGGTCTTTGTTAGACCGCACCTGATGTATTGCGTCCAGGCTTGTCCTCCTTGCCTGACTCGTGACAGGATGGCGGTGGAACGGGTCTTGAGAATCGGAACCAAAATGGTCCACGGGTTGCGGTACCTGTCCTATCCTGACAGATTGCTCAAGCTAAGGATGTTTTCGTTGCATTATCGTCATCTTCATGGTGATCTGATTATCACTTAGCGTATACTGATAGGGCGGATAAGTCCAGAGCTCTTCGCTTTTTCATACTACACAGTTACCTACTCTATGCGGGCATCCGACGAAATTGCACAAACTCAAATCTGGTTCTAGTTGACACTCGTTTGTCACGCCGAGTGATAGTTCCTTGGAACTCGCTACTTGAGGATGTAGTCTTTTCATCCATGGTGACAGAATTTAAAACTCGTCTCGACGCCCTCAACTTGCAACTCCGAATCTTCCCCTTCCTTTATTAATTTAGTTACTGTTTGCTCTCCAACTATCTTCCTTTTTATTCACTCTTATTAACTTCCTCTTCATTGTCCTTGTTCGTACCCTTCCGCTTTATATCTAGTTTACATCATCATCATCATCATCATTACACGTTAGCTGGAGGTGGAAACACGCCCGCTGAGTCCCCAGTAACGGATGGACATCGTTCCGGAGAGCTAACAGCTGGCTGCCATAAAGAAAGTCATATTATGCCTAACGATTGAGATCGTGATTGGAGGGGGATGCTAAACAGGAGGGGGATGGACAAAGGAACTCACAACACAAGCGCCATTGGGGCCGGCTCCTAGCCATATCAGCATGTGTGTCCAAACAAACGTGTTCACCGTCCTTAGGACCCCAGCCAGGCAGTCGGGATGCACCACCGACGCCAACTTCGAAGTGAGGGTTTTCATTTCTCTCGACCAAGTCATCACTTGGCCTCCCCTCCTCCTCTTCCAACCGCACCCACAACGCGCAAACAATGCACGTCGTGGGAGTCGGTGTGCTGGCATGCGCAAGACGTGGCCCAGCCATCGGAGCCTGGTGCGTGATATAATCGTGCTGAGCGGTTCACTCGCTCTTCCTGCACCAAATATGCGACGCCGAACACGCTCATTGCTCACG